GTGAGTATATAGAGAGAGGAACAAGCATCCACCAGCACCCCCATTTCCCCCAAATCCTCCCCTCTACAACCAGAGCTTGGAAAAGGTCACCTCTGGGCTACAACTTCCAGAGGCACTGAATCAGCATGGCTGCTGGAGGTCCTGAGAGTTGGAAGTCCAGAAAAATAACTTTGCTAAACTCTGCTCAGGAGGTAACACTTGCCAAGGCAACTGAGATTTTGGGACATGTTGGAAGTAGGGAGATGAACTGGGGGGGGGAGGCAATCACTTTGAACCCCACCCCTCAGGATTTTGCAAGGGGAAGAAAGTCCTTTCCTTGGCTTAACAGCTGTATCAAAATAAAGATTTGGGATTACAAAGATTATGAAGGCCTAGAAGATTCATTCTATGCATTTGCAGTGTGACCTTGGTATCTGCTGGGGTTTGGTTCCAGGACTTCCTGTGGATACCAAAATACATGGATTCTCAAGTTCCATTATATACAATAGTGTTCCTTATTTAAAATGGCAAAATAAAGGTTTGCTTTTTGGAATTTTGGGGGGGGGGAGAATATTTTCATGCCATGGATGGTTGACTCTTGGGCATAGAATCTGTGGATATGGAGGGCCGAGGGTATTTTATGCTTTCCTGTTTCCTAAATTAATTTTGTCCTTCCTGAACAACAGTGGGGAAAGGTATCAATCCCTTTCTCTTCCTCCCTTAAACTGAAATTCACCACTGATTTCAAGGCCAGCCTGCCATTAGAAATAGTGAGGCAGCTGCCTCAAGGAGCAGGGAGCAGATTCAAAGGAATGATTTGTTTTGCTCTACCCCTCCCTTTTTTCATATCCCACTTATAATTTTTATGTAAAATTCTGCTGCCAAAACTGTTAACCTTCAACTGTTAAAGGCAGAAGGAAGGATATTGCCTAAAGGCAAGGTGAGTAGATAGCTATATGAATGAGGGTTGGAATGTATTCACCTTGGCTTTAGGCAACATCCTTCCTTCTGCCTTGTCCCACAATGGCTATAGTTAAAACTGGATTTGTCATTTCCATACCCACAAGGTTTGGCATTTCTATTGTCATTTTCTCTCACACAGCCTGCTTATATAAGTGTCCATGGCCCCTCCATTCTACCCCAGGCATCTGAGGAAGTAGACAAGCTCATGCTACCAGCTTCTCTCTTTCAGTTAGTCTCAAAGGTGCTACAAGATCCATTTACATACTGATTTTCCAGACTAACACAGCTATGTCTTTGAATTCTAAGCTCTTAATGGTTTTGCATTCCATCTCACTAATGACACATACCAATCCATGAGCACCTGTGATGTTCACTTCTATGACAGTGATTCTCACCCTTTGCTCCTCCAGATGTTTTGGACTTCAGCTCCCATAATTCCTGATTGCTGGCCAAGTTGGCTGGAGCTTCTGGGATCTGAAGTCCAAAACAAGTGGCAAACCAAAGGTTGGGAATCATTAGTTCTGTAGCTGGGCATTTCTTTTTTCTTAGTTACTTATGGAGGTAGGATGATGTTTGAAGAAGGCATGGAAGAAAACAAGCCAGGTATGAGACCAGAAGACTCTCTTCTATCTTTCATCATGGAGAGGACTTTGAGAGGCAAGGCTAAAGGTTGAGATTCCTTCCCACCTCAGCAAGAGACCAGGGGTGGGGTGGGCTCTTACAGGGCATTAGCAGCCACCAGCAAGTCGTAGTTGTCAAACAGCACCCCTTGGGGGCCCTCAGCCACAGCTAGGTACACAACCTCCATCCCCACCAGCAGCGCCAGCTTCCCAAGGCTACTGATGTGCAAGAAGACAGAAGAGGCCAGCAGACTCAGCAGCACCGAGTATGTGAAGTACTAGAGAGACAAAAGGAGAAAGATAAAGAGAGAGAGAGAGAGATGTAAGAAACACTGCTCACAAAAACAGATTAGTTCCTAGAAGCCCATACTCATTCCCTTGAGACAAGCACACCTCCTCTGATTCCTCTCGAATTGAGAGGCATTGTGGTCTAATCCAGAACACCTTTAACATTATTTTCTCTTCCTCTTGCCTCCACACATACAGATACCTAAACATCCTACCTTTCACGCTCCATGGCCCAAATAAGCAATCAACTATCAAGGTACTCCTTGGGAGGGGAACTAGTAGTGGTGGTGGTGGTGGAGGAAGAGAAGCAATCCTCAGAGTGCACAGCAAATGCTTAAATGTCTGATGAAGCCCCAAGTCCCATCCACAAAGCTTCACACTTTTGCTTCAATTAGATCCCATCTCCCCCACAGTGAAGCATTTCTAGGCTATACATACCTCAGGGAAGCTGCAATTAGAAGCACCATTTTCCTGGCAGGGCAGAGTGTTTGACGCCAATGAGTAGTTGAGGGCACGGAGAAGGCAGGGCCCCACAGCAGCTGGAGTAATGTTGAGAAATCCGGCAACGCAGTCTTGGAGCCGGAGCCGGCTGCAAGCAAACTGGGTTGAGGGAGGGAAAAATGGCCAGCTATGTAGGACTGCTAATGAATTTGATCCTGTGCTATTGTTCCATAGATACTCAACCTCAACATCTCAGAGATTTATGGCAGCAAGGATGGGGAGCCAATGGCCTGAACCCTGGGATTCTAGGACTGGAGACAGACAATTAAGTTTCTCAGAGAGCTGACAGTGCTTGAAAGCAGAGCTGCTTCTTACTGTGTGAGCATCCCAGAGTTTGGAAACATTCGTATTACAGCTAACACATTACCATTAAGCATGCAGGAGTAGCTGTGTTGGTCATTTAGCAAATTCAAACAAAAATCCACCAAACAGTGATACCCTTATTGGCCAACCGAAATGCATAATATACTTTCGGTTGGCCAATAAAGGTTTCACTGTTTGGTGGATTTTTGTTTTACATTACAATTAAATTGTTAAATAAAGAAATTCACTGGCCTAAATCCAACTGAATCCTAGCAGAATGGAAAAAGAAAACCCACTAGCACAACTGTGCTGGATTACACCTTTTTGCAAATAACCGTGCAAAGCAGCAGTGCAAAAAAGGTTTATAACACAAATTGTACTGGACACCACTTTGCACTAACTGGGATGGTGAGCCACTGCTAGTGCAACAGGCCTTGCATTAAAATGATAACCTAATTGGGCATGGGTCATGTTAAGAGAAAAGTGAATTTTAAAAAATCCATTAATCACTTGGCTCAATTGTTAGACTGAAAACTATTTTAAAGTTTTTTAAAAAATAAAATGGGCACAAACAAATGAAAGAAATGAGAAATAGAAGTTGTTAATCAAAAGTAATATTACTGGAATTTGATGATTAAAGCAACCATTTTAAATGGTTGAAAATTATGACAATTTTAACAAAGCCCAGTAATGAATTAATTTTAACAGTTTGCTTCCAAGTGCTGGTACCATTCTGACTACTTCTGTTTCTGATACACAAGCTTTTGCCTTGTTTTAAAAAACCTGCAACAACTATTTGATCAAAGGAGACTACAGGACAATAAAGGTAAAGAGGTGTGTGTGTGTGTGTGGTGATGCCTCTCTTCAACCACTCCGTTTTGCTTCCCAAACAAATATCCCTTCTTTCACTTCAACTACACTGCACAGTTTATAGCCATATTATACCACCTTAGCTGTCATGGCTTCATCTTATGGAGTGCTAGGAACTATAGTTTGGTGAGATACTTCTCTGCTAGATCATTTTCGTGCTGTAGCTTGGGGAAGTGGACTGCAGCACTCTCTAGAGAATATCCTACATCCAGCTACAACTCCCAGGAATATGCACAATGGAACCACAACCCAAAAGTGGTATCAAATTGCTGTAACTGTGTGGTGAAGATACACTGTCTCTAGCCAACAGCAAGCACTTCATGACATCCAGCAGATCTAGTTCTAAATTGTCCTTTACATTCCAGGACCATCACACTAGCCCACCTCCTGCCTCAGCACCCACTCCCCAGTCCTCATACCATGTTGACAAAAGCAGAGATGAAGACAAGCAGGATGGCAGCGACACCTGTGATTGTGCTATTAATCCGAGACTGGATGATCTTCCGGGAGACACGCTGTAAGGTGGCAGGAAAGGGCTGTAAAGAGTCACAAAAGGTGGCATATGAGATGCAGGGACCAAGAAGTTACCACCATCTCCACCTCCTTAGGTCTTAGAGGCAGGAATAATATGGAACCTGAGCAATGGAACAGTCATGAGGTCCAGCTCATCTTCCCCTCAACCTGATTATAATTTTGTATGTGATTTACTGTATTCTTTGCCTTTTTGTAAGCTGCGTTGAGTCCCAGCCTGGGAGTAATGTGAGATATGTGAGATATTCTAATGTGAGATATTCTATGTCTGGTTACCCAAGTCTAGTGAAAGGAGGAAAATACAGGGAGATTAGGTAGATGAATCAGGAAGACTGTGCTAACTACAAAAGGGAGGTAAGGATGATATTTTCAATAAATCTCCATGAATGCCAGGCTGGGACATCTCATTGGTCTGAACAGCCACAAGATTGTGCTCCTGTTGCTGGCTGCTGACCAGCTTAGCCTTGGCTTACCACACCCTTAGTGTGACAGGAGCTTTACTAGTAATGCAACAGGACATTTGCTAAGCCCAGCAAATCAAAGCCTCAAGGGACTGAAAGGACATCGTAACTAAAATCCCACTGTGCTCCACATGGAAACCACATTCTCTCTGTGGTTATGCATGTTTAAAGCAAATGGGTGTACCTTGGTGGGGTCCACAAGCAAGTGGAATGGAAGTCAGAGTGTCCTTGGGACAGATCAGAGGCCATTCTTTTATGGGGTCCCACTGAAGGAAGAGATAGAAAGGGAGGCACTTACCCCAAGGCAAGAGTAGATGGCACAGACAAAAAGGATGGTAGCCAGGATGCTGAAGATGCTGATGTAGGCGCCAAGCATCAGAGTGGAGCTGTGGGAAGATGAGCAAGGATCAGGTATGCCTGTTTTGGCTACCACCTTAAAGTTTATTTTTCACCATCCATCTGCTTCCAACATATTGATGTATGGTGTTGCATGGCATAGTGGTTTCAGTGTTAGACTACAACTCTAGAAACCATGGTTCAATTCCCAGCTTGTCAATGAAATCCACTGGGTGACCTTGGGCAAATCACATGCTCTTAGCCTCACAGGAAGGCAATGGAAAACCTCCCATGAACAAGTCTTGCGAAGGAAACCCCATGATAGGGTCATCATAAGTCAGAAATGACTTGAAGGCACACAGCAATAGCAACTATACTGTAAGTGTGTCCATGATCTTATATTTTGTACTAGAGTGCTATACAGAAGACAGGAATATTTAATTTTTAAGAAACAATGTTTTCCTTCCCATGATGATCCTTTACTTCCCCAACTAACTCGACTTTATTGGGAAACAGCCTTTCCTCCTTTCTTCTTCTATAAATATCAAAACTGATATCTCCACCAAAACAGATGATCCCAGTAAACACTTCATCCCCACATGCCCTGACTTCTCTCAGCAATGTTATCAAAATTATCAGTTTCATCAGGCTCTTCCCTGCCCTTCCCTGACAAGAACCACCATACCATACAACATGCATCATGTTGGCAGCTGTCAATAGGAGATGAAGTCCTCTGGAGGACACCAGGTTGGAAAAAGCTGGCCTAGCCAATGGCATTCTCCCTACATGGATAGTCCTCTGTGTTATCCCTCATCGTGAATACCAGATGAACAGTACAGTTATGAGTGGAAGCTTGAATGTGGTAGCTACAAGGGTACATATATTCAAATGGAAGCTGTGTGTGTGTATATGCTTCCTACTTACTACAAATGAAATTCTGCAGTAATTTCCCTGGAGCACCCCTGGAAGTAAACAATTTCACTGAGTCAAGTGAAAGCTGGCTAGAGGACATCTTGAATTTCTACCTGAATAACTCAGTGGAGGCCCATTGACTCAGATGGTAGGAATAAGACCCTTGAAGTATCCTCCTTCCTCTACAAAGCCTTCCCCAGTCTGGGGCTTTCCAGATACTGGTGGATTGTAATTATTAGCATTCATGAACATCAGCTATACTAGCTGGAACTGTTGGGAGCTGCAGTCTCACAACACCTGGAGGGCACCAGGTTGGGGAAAGCTGCTCTGGAGTATCAGGGAATGCTTCAATTGGGAACTGGAGGTTTGGAGATGCAGTGCATTCAATGACAGTGCATCACAGTAAGCTCTATGTAGATCTTCAAGACTGTGCTTGGGGCTACATTTGTACACCTTAGTGCATATAGATCCTGCTCACAAATGCAGCTGCTGGAAAAGCTATGGCATGTACTGGTGTCCTGTGGTGCATACATCTTCACTGTCAGTGTGCATGCACAAACAAGTGCATATGCATATGTACCTACATGTTTTTATGTAGAGTACACAGTGAACATACTCTTGCACATGTGTCACTCACTGAGGGAAGATGACAATCTGAATACAGCATATGAAGCAGAAGACCAGCATGGTGCAAGCCACGTAGCCACCAAAACGGGTATCCACCTTTTTGGAATACTACAAAAGGGAAGGAAAAGAGAATTGTGTTACTACAGGGTGCCCAGGGCCACATGAGAAGAACCATTCTGCAACCAAGGATGAAGAAGTAAAGGGAAGGGTACCTTTCTCTCTAACTCAGGTTTCTGGAAAGTCAGCAGGAAGCGCTTGACATGATCCTTGCGCAGCTGGTCAATACTTCGAGCATCAATGGCACGGCCCAGAAACTCATCTACTTCATCTTCAGGGTTCAAGGCTTCCTGTGTGCTTCGACTGCAGGAGAGAATGACAGGTTAAGAGTTAAGGCAGGACTTTCCAGTGTGAACTCCATCCATCTCTTCCCACCAGACCTTTTAAAAATTACTTGTGGGGACTATACTCTGCCAAATTCCCCTGTCTTAAAAAAGTAACTTTTCTAAGCGCTACCTCTCCTACACAGCTTGGTAAAGGGGTTTCCCCCACCCAACCCAGAAACTGCCAAGAGTACAAAAGGGACATATAATAAAGACACTCACTTGTCTTTACTGGCATCATCAATACCCTAAGGAACAAGAAACAGAGAGAAAAATCCTTTTCAAATGCTCACAGTTTTTTTTTTAATTAAAACTTTACACACACTCCTACAATTTATAAACTGAACAAGCTCTTCCTCTAGTCTATAACATATCTATGTCATTCAGTTATGTTCATTTTAAAATGCCTATCCAAAATGGAGAAATGCTGGACAATCGTGATAGAATGATAGATTCTGCATGTACCTGGTGAAGGACTGAGTTTATGTTGTTGCACTATTGAAAGTTAGAAAACAATAAGGAAGCAAGTGTCGCATGCTCTAAGATGGTCAACTGTTTATTCCTTTTAAAATAACCCAACACATTTGGACTGTATAAGAAAAGGGCCTCTTCAAGGGCAGAAATCACTGGAGTTATAGGGCCTTTGCATACTGCCAGAAATAATGCACATTAAATTGAGGCACTGCCCTGGCTCAGTGCTAGGGAATCATGGGAACTGTAATTTATTGTGGCACCAGAGCTCTCTGGCAGAGAAGGCTCAATGTCTCAGAAAAAAATACAATTCCCATGACTCCCTAGCACTGAGCCAGGGCAGTGCCTCAATTTAATGTGCACTATTTCTGGCAGTCTGCAAAGGCCCATACTCTCCAAAACACAGAACTGTAATGGTCCATTTCTGCTGAAGGTCTCTGAAGAAAGCCTTTTCTCATACAGGATGAAATATGTTCGGTTATTTTAAAAGGAATAAACAATTGACCATCATAGAGCATGTGTAGCTTGTTTCCTTATTGTTTTCTGCTTTTAACATGCTCTTCAGTACTGTCTTGTCCACTAATGAATGTTAGCAATAACTGTGAGTTTAAAGTCACATTCACCACTTTCTCCTACTTTACCACCTGTCCTCCATAAGAGGGAGGATATGTGCAAGTAGAAACTTGTGAAAGTTCAAAGCCAGATTGTGCATTGTTTTTATTTTTTATAATACATGCTCTCCTCCTAATACCTTATCAGATAACAACCACATGTTTCACTCTGGTCCCAATCTTTAGGTCCTACTCTACTTTTAAGAGCTGAGAGGAAAAATGGCATAAATGGCATTCTACTTCCCAGGCTATTTGTGCGCTACATTAAACAGACAAAGAGTAGCAGAGCCCTTCCCTGAGCTCACAGTCCCATCACTGAACACACACAGGAGTGTAATAAATCTGCCTCACCTGGTCTTTGGCCAAACAAACTGTACTGCTCAGGGACTTCAGCATACCAGTATGGCTAAGATTTACAGCTAGAAGGCAGGGAGGCCTGCAGGCTGGTTAATGCTCAACTTTGTAGGTGTGATAAGGGGGTAAGAAAGAGGCCCAAGGAAAGCTTAGAAATGTAATTGGAGACAATACTGCAGACCCTTCTCTTTCAGAAAGCCATCATGTCATCTCTTCTGTCCACCTAACTTTAGACATAGGTCTTGACTTACTCTGATAGTCTTTTCTATTATTTTTATTTATAGATAGATTTATGTTTCAGCCTTCCAGCCCAAACAGTTCCTAGAGTGCAGAGACATAGGGGGGAAGCAGACGAGGGCGTCCAGGACGCCCTGCGCCGGCACGCCGCGGGGCCGCAGCCTCCGCATCTCGGCGCACCAGTGGCATCCCTGGAAGGAGCGCTAAATCAGCGCTCCTTCCTCAAGACAGCAAAAGTGCGCCCTAAAAGCGGCGGGTGCACTTTCGCTGTCTTATCCTCCGCAGCGCGTCCGGTCGCTGCGGAGGGAGGTTGCCCCGGAAGCGCCGGACGTGCGGAGGGCCGGCAGCTTCCGGGGCGACCTCAGGAAGAGGAAGGGGCGCCGAACGTGCGGCTGCCCCTCCTCTTCCGGGCCCGGAAGACGACTCAATTAGTCGTCTGCCGAGGCCCATAGTTATGTTAGTCTGGAATGTCAGTATTCAAAGGGATTGTGTAGCACCTTTGAGACAAACTGTGTGGAAGAAGTTGTAACATAAGCTTTCGTAGACTTGGTCTACTTCTACTACATCTGAGGAAATAGACCAAGTCTACAAAAGCTTATGTTACAACTTCTTTCAGACAGTTAAGATCCCTAGAGTGGTTCACACTGACACACATGCCACTAACCATCATTTAAACAGCACAGCATAATGGATATAATGTTGAAATTACATTGTATCAATGGCAATAAGATAATGAACCCATATGGAACATCAGCTGAAAAGATTTTCACATGGTTCTGAGAAAATAGCAGAACTGGCATCAGACAGGCATGTTGTGTGGTGGGGAGTCCAAGATGGCAAGCCACCATCTGGGAAAACATGCTTCACCTCAGACAAAGAAAAGACTCAAAAAGGATCCTGAGGTACACTGGTGCCAAGCCATTTAGAACTTTACAAGTCAACAACAGGCAGAGAATTGTGTCTGTGTAAACCTGTTTCATTTGAGCACAACAGGTGTTGTGCAAGAACTACCTGCTTAAGAACTTTGCCCAGAAGAGAAAGTATTCAGAAACAGGAAAATCATGAGGGTTTAGGTGTGATCATAGCACCAAGTCTATGAAACAAAGTAGTGTCTGCCCTCCACATCCACGGAATCAACCATCCACAGCTTGAAAATATTTTTTAAGTTATACATTCCAAAAAGCAGTTTAATGTATTTTTCTATTTTATATAAGGGATACCATTTCACTACACCACTGTATTTCATGGGACTTGAGCATCCACAGATATTGGTATCCACGAGGGGTCCTGGAACCAAAACCCAGTTGATAAAATGAGTCCACTATATTTATTTAAAACCCAGCCAATCACACAACTGCTGGCAGAAGCTCCTGGGAGGAAGAGCAAGGTAGGAGCCCTCGCCTTTCTAAACCACCTTCCCATTCAATGCCCTCTGCAGTGGAAGTGCATCCCAACAAAACGTGACCCTACAGTGTTCTGGTAGCATCCATGTTTCTGCACATCCAAGGAATTTTATCATTAAGATACTTAGCGAATGAGTCACAGCAGGATTCTTTAACTACTAACTGTGGGCTCAGACACAGTAAGTCCCACAGCACCCACTGGGTGACACTGCAAGGATGCAAGAG